GAATTGATGTGTTTTTACAACCATTGATTGATAATTTGAAGAGTTTGTGGATAGGACAATGGAAATAGGTTATTTAAACGAAAAAGTATTTTTGCTATGAAGATGACTTTGATATGGACTCTTAATGATTTTCTTGTATATGGAATGTGGTCTAGTTGGGAGACTCATGGAAGAATGATTTGTCCCATCCCAAGTTCCTAAAACACAAAGGAAATATATTTTGGTTTAACCCTGATTGCAAGTTTATACCAGACAAGAATAAGTTTAGAAGGAAAAAAATATTACTTAAAAAACAGAGGAGAGTAAAACAATCCCTCTCGGGTTTCTGATATGCTTCTTCTTGGTAGAAAGATATGTCATTTCTCGGGTTTAAAGAGGATAATACCTCTAATTGTTTTGTTGATAGTATTCTTAGGAAAGTTAGATCTCCAAACTTCTTTTTAAGAGAATCCTTGTGTATGACCTATTTCTCTTAAGAACAAGTTCCCTTATCTTTTTTTCAATTTCTACTCAACCGAATGGGTTGGTGCGAGATATTGGTTGGATGGAAAATGTAAACTTTGAATGGGATTTGAGGTAGAGGAGACACTTATTTTTCTGCGAGTTACCTATGTTTGATAACATTCTCTTTGTGCTTCATAAATTTAATCCCTCTCAAGTTAGAGATAAGTGGAAGTGGAATCATACATGAGATAATATATTATATGTTGCCTATTCTTACCATGTCCATTTGGACCATGTTATACCTTCTTTTCCCTCTAATATGGTTGATCACTTGGCCCTTCCTTAAATATAGATCAGTTGAGCCCCTTCTAAGGATGTTGTCTTATTTTTTGGGGGAACTTCTACAAGATAGACTCCCTTCTAGGGAGAATTTTTTCAAATGCGCGGGGGGGGGGGGGGGGGGGGGGTGATTGTTGATTCTAATTGAATTTCTTATCCCTGTGCGGGGGTTTGGTTGAGTCATTTTCTCATCTTTTTGTCACTTATGAGTTCGATTTGGTAGTTTGGTATAACATCTTTTAGTGGTTAGATTGGTAGGTGGCTAGGTCGAAGTATAAGGGTGGTTTTTTGATGGGTATATCCATGTTGTTGTCTAGTCTATTTAGATGGTTCGTAATGATGGTATCTATTATAGTGTTTCAACAACTATGAAAGAAGTGGATAAGAATAAAGTGTGAGGGCAAGGTCCCTCTATATGTGTTTTAATGATATCAAAACCGTTATTACTCACTCTCCATTTGGGTTGGTCCTATGAACAATCTTTCTATGAAATGGTTGGAATGAAGATCTCCAAAAACATTCATTTTTGGGAAAATTCAATGTTTGCGTCGACTCAAAGATATGTGCGGTCGGCTCATCATTCTCAACCAAACTCATAATATGTCGCGTCGACCCTTCCGATCGACTCAACCTGGGAATAAAAATATTCAACTATTGCATCGACACAAGCACTATAGCGGTCGACGGACTATACTTTAAAATGGATTTTCCTCAACCTGCAGGATGTGTCACGTTGACCCTTCCGGTTGACTCAATCTGGGAATCAAAATATTCAAATATTGCATCGATGCAAACCCTGTAGCGGTCGATGCACTACACTTCAAAATGGATTTTCTCCACCTGTGGGTTGTGTCGCGCGGACCCCCCTTATTTTCTGAGTCGATCGCTCGCTGCTTTAAACTATTTTTCTGCTATGTTTTTGGGTCTTGACTACTAGGTAACACACACACACACACACACACACACACACACACACACACACACACACACACACACACACACACACACACACACACACACACACACACACACACACACACACACACACACACACACACACACACACACACACACACACATATATATATATATATATATATATATATATATATATATATATATATATATATATATATATATATATATATATATTCATTGAGTATCATCATTGCAAATTCAACAAGAACTAGTGAAAGATACACATAGTGCTCATCATCTTCATCCTCTCTTCTCAAAAAACAACATCTACACATAATCATGGTTGTTCATTCAAGAAAAGTTATGTGGTGATAACATTCAAATCAAGAATTCAATTCAGATTTGGGTTGAGAAATTGTGGGTTGTTCTTGAATAAAATCATTTGGATTTTCTCCTCTAAGATTCCAATTGGTGCGGGAGTTTTTGCACAATTCTTTGCTTCATTGAATTCAGCCGAGTGAAAGGATTAAGAAACGACGGGTTTTCTTAATCAAGTAGCGCTAACCGGAGGATTGTGAAGGAAAATTTGGGGTCAAATCGCTTGCGATCAAAATCATCCAAGTGAAAGGATTAAGAAACGATGGGTTTGCTTAATCAACTAGCGGTAACCGGAGGTTTGTTCGAAGAACTTGGCATTTGGTTTTGCTCAAACCAAGGAAAGGGAAGAAGACTGTTACATCAACAACATTAGTTTGTTTGTATTGTGAACTATATCTTCTCTTATAACATTTACAACTTAATATCAAATTTTTCAATTATAGATTCTAGAATTGGGGGCAGGCGTACCCTACGCAAGGACGACAAGGGGAACTGTCTTAACAAATCGTGTGTTCTTTTTTTTTAATGTATTTCATACTTGACTGTCATAATTTATAGAAATCAACTTGTTAAATTTGCTTGTACTGAAATTGTAGTGTGTTGAGATCATTTCAGAATATTGGTAACAATCCATTTGATTGATACCTAAGAAAACGCACCACTACAATTTAGTAAAACCAAACCTAAGGTGCTTTGCACATAAGGTATTTGAAAAATTGACTCATCCACAAATTATTCATTGTGTTTAGCTTTATCTTAATCAACTCATTGGAGGTAATTCATACTCATTGAGGGTGTATAAGTGATTGACCAATTGAGTAAAACGTATTGATTCTTACTTTGTCATCCTATCCCATATGGTTGCGCATATCTGATATTTTCAATAGAGGATCGTTTAGACGATTGGAGATTCCGGAAGCTTTCGCATATATTTCTTAAAACCAATTTTAAAAATCACAAATTATTTTAAACGATCTATTCAACCCCCCTTCTAGATCGATCACATCGTCTAACATAAAGTTTTTTCTTGGAAATTTTTTTTAAGTAGAAAAGAGGTGAACTCATGCTCATTCCTTGATTGACTTCAAAATCCTATCTTCTGATTAAACCAATAGTGAAGCGAGTACTTGTCTTGATTTTGAGATTGATAGTGGTTTGTGCTTTTTGATTCCCTCTTTAGGTCCTGTTATTTGTTGATGTAGGTTCTGATAGTGTGATATCTAGTCTGAATCCTAAGGGTGAGGTTTCAAGTTGTGAGGTTGTTTTTTATATGAAATTCATTTGGGTTTTTAGTTGTTTTGGTGCTTCTATAGTTTTTTCTTTTTTCTTGTTGTACCTTTTGTTTTTGCTTGTTGAGGTCCTTTTATCACTTCTTGTGCTAACTAATGCCCTTATTTTAGTACTTTCGGTGGTTTTCACCTCTTTATTAAAATAATATTGTTCTAATAAAAAAACTTAAACTAAAGATAATAAGAACACTAGACATGACTTAACACTTTTTGTAATATACTAGATTTGGAGTTGCACTCTCTTCCAAATGAAAATTTATTAAAACCTAAGGTCAATAATAGTCTAACCGCTGATAGAGCACAATGTATTAGGTATTGATGCAACATCGTCACCTAAAATCTAAATTTACTAGGTATATGAATCACATATTTTATAAATCGAACATTTGATTCATTTATAGGAGATGTGTGACTTAACTACTCACACTTACACCCAACAATCTCAGTATAAGTGTAAGTCCTCACATCCTATAAAGGGAAATTAATGTGAGTCCACACATCCTATAACATAATTTAACACATGATCCATTTTTCGCTCCCTCACTATATCAATCCATGGCTCTGATACCACTTGCTAAAGAGTATGAAGAATACAGGAGCGACATCTGGCTCAATGTTTCAGGACCACAAGAGAATGAGACGACACGTCTTCACTCAAACTTTTAAGACATTGGATATATGAGTCACGTCTCTTATAAATCTAACTTTCTACTCTTTCATATGTGATGTGAGACTAATCTCTCATATTTGAACTTAATTGCAAAGTGTGTTGATGTCAACACTAATAGATTATAAAGAATAAAAAGTTATGATTTCCCGATTTAATGGACCACTTGCTTCCAATCGTGTTAAATTCACTCTAAAATCATATTTTAAATCCATTGAATCGAGTTAATCTAAGTACTACTTTTGTGAGCTTAAAAACATGGTGATGAACCTTCTGTTGAGAAACACTCCTTTGTTGAGACTATAATTCTCTCTAAGTCAAGTGTGGAGGATTAAAGAAAATAAATTTCATTTGTTGCATCACTACTACTATGTGCATGTTTGTTTCAGCTTTTAAAAAATAGATTTTTATTTTATATTTTTGAAAATTAATTTTATAAAATTAATTTTTAAAATATTACAAGGTTTTTATATTTGTATTTTCTAAATTGAAACACTAATTTTGACATTCTATAATATAAACATGTATTATTGAAGAATAAAACATAGTTAAAATCGTAATATTTTTTCAAAAAGTTGTATTTCAAAAATGATTTTTATAAAAATCTATCTGAAATAACTTCAAAATTAAGTGATTTTTTAAAATTTTGATATTCAAAATTTTTTCCAATAAAAAGATGAGATACTTAAAAGGGAAAATATTCATTTTAGTCTTTTAACTATAGGTCATGGTTCACTTTGATCTCTTCTATTTTTTTCGTGACAAATTAATCTCTTAATTTTCAAAACGATACAAACAAGTCCCTTCCGTCCACTCCATCAGTCAAAAGATATTAAAAATCTACGTCACACATTTAACGAACTATTATGACGAAGTTAACGTTAAAAAAACCAACGCTAAAAGAAATTCCTAGATTTGAATTATTATTCATCTCCTTCCCCAAATTTTTGTGCATTTCGTTTAGGCTAGAAGCACATTATTGCCCCAAGGTCACAACGAAAAGGAATACAACAAACAATAAAGTTGTGCCTTTGGTACTTCCCCTGCAGTGATGAGAAACGAAATCAAATTCGGAGAATATGTAAAATGATTTTCAATAAACTGCAATAAAGATTTGGAAAACAATCAATTTTAAAGTCTAAGTAGTTTTAATTTAAAGAAACATGACCTGATTAAGCGCATACACACCTAAGAATTCCCTGTTGAAGTCACCAATTACTGCACCTTCTTGTAAATTATTATCTATGCAAAATAAGTTAGATTCATCATAAACTCATGAAAATCAAACACAGTGCATGATTATGTTATTGACAGCAGAATAATAATACATGAATATCATAAACAAGTTAACTCGCATTTGCATTTACCAATTGGCCTTCAAATTGGCATCGACGTAGAGCCAATAACCAGAAGTTCCAATAATCAAAACATTCTTAGATCCAAGAATCTGCACCACCAAAGAAGCAAATAGAGAAAAAAACGTAAACTAAAAATATATCGTGTGCAAATGAGCCATCAAAAAAACTTAAACTAAAAATATATCGTGTGTAAATGAACAGTAATTAAAATCTAGAAATTTCTTTTACTGTGGTTTTTTTGATGCTAACTCCGTCATAATAGTTGATCAAATTTACCACGTAGATTTTTAACGGATTTTGACTAACAAAGTGGATGGAAGAAATTTGTTTACAAGATTTTGAAAATTATGAGACTAATTTCGCACGAAAAAAATATAAGATCAAAGTAAACCATAAATATAGTTAAGAGACTAAAATAGATATTTTATCTATCTAAAATAACATTTTAAGAATAAACATTTAAACCAAATTTTCTTTTAAAACTTCTATAAAAAATTTCTTTATGAATTTTTTTATACAAAATCATGTAGTATTATAAAAATTATTTTTAAGCCAAAATAATTTGGCTCTATATCTTTATAATATATTTTTTTAAATATATTAATTATTAGATATTTAAATATTTAAACATATGAATAAAAGTATATAGACCATTCCTTATTTTGCAATCGTTAAGTGAAAAGATAAATTGGTTAAATTGTATTAGTAGAATTTTCTCTCTTTGTTTTCCACGACATTATTGGCATTGTTAAACATAAAAATCTATATTGACATGAAAAAAAAGACCATAACACCATTTTTTTTAAAGTTTTGTTTGAAATTTTTTATACACATCAAATATTTATACTTAAATATATAAAGATTAATCTTTTAAGTCGAAGAGATCATAATAGACTGGCAAAACTCTTATATAAAAACATTTAATTAATCAAAAAGAGACATTTATGGTTTCATTCAAATACTAGAGTTATTATAAATTGTTAAAGATGAAAAATATATAAAATGTAATAATACAGAAAGAAAAACGTGTTGCCGAGCTGTAATGTGAAATAGATGAGATGATTGATAATATGAAAAGAAAATGAACGTGGAAAAGCTGTAGATGCAAATGGAGGCATTGATTAGAGGAAACTAAAGCTGCTCCCTCGACAGTTGTAATCATAATTAGAGCAACAATCCATAGAGTAGAGAAAGTAAAATACTTTAACCATAAATATTTCTGTCCACCTGCCCTACCTTCACGTGTAACCCTTGATGCCAAATCATAATATTAATCAAATTAGTGCATAAATGACTTTTTATATCGGCTGAAACTGACTTTTTATATCGGTTCTGGGTCCGATGTAAAGTCAGGAGATATAGTAAATCAGGTACTTTTTACATCGGTTTTGGGTCTGATGTAAAAAGTCCATTTTACACCGGTTTTAATCTAAGACTGATGTAAAAAACAATTATAACAATATTTTAAAAAAATTGACTCAACTTTTTACATTGGTTAAACATGTGGGTCGATGTAAAAAGTCCCTTTTTTACATCGGTTATGATCTAAGACTGGTGTAAAAAACAATTATAACAATATTTTAAAAAAATTAACTCAACTTTTTACATCGGTTAAACGTGTGGACCGATGTAAAAAGTCTCTTTTTTACATCGATTATAATATAAGCCCGATGTAATATATACAGTTTTGAAACTTTTTACATCAGTTTGGAGTAATAACCGATGTAAAATGTATGAAATTTTTTGAGAATAAATTATTTATTTTCTAGATGTTTCCCTGTACAAAAATAATTTGTACCCATTTTTTCATATTTTTCCAATATCACACCGACTATATTTATGTCGCTATATAGATTTCATAGCTTTCCAACATCACATAGACCACATCTAGGTCGATGTTTTCATATTTTTCACAACAAACTTACAAATTGAACAATTGTATTACAAACTTGTATTGTATCACAACAAACAAACTCACAACAAACTTACAATTACATATTCTTCACAAAACATACAAAAATATTCAACTATTTATAAGTCTTTTTCCAAACTTGAATTATCAATATAAAATCCACAAGTAGATGAGTTATAGCTCCGGTAGACAACACCAAAATCACATTGCCTGACAATAAATAATAACAATTAACATCAGCAAAAAAATCAAGAAACTCAATACATGTGCAAAAACCACATGTAATGTGCAAAAACTCAATAATAACAATTATGTGCAAAAACTACAACTTAGACAATTCTATAAAACTCACCAAGATATACTTAATTTTGATATAACTCAAAGAAACATTTTTCCCAACAGAGTCGCAAATCATACAAATCATATTGTGTTAATTCTGTTGGGTCATCAAATACCTATAATACATAAATACAACAATATAGACTTATTTTTTAAAAATTCATATTAAGTCGAAAAACAAAAAGTGAATAACAAAGTAAAATTATTTTTAGTACCTGCATCCAATTCTCAGTTATATTAGCAGAGACAATATCCAACATATTTTTCATCACATAATATCCACAATCATTAGAGTTATGTTGTTGCCTTGTCTACAATTGAATGACATAATTAGTGAATATTTATCATAAATTTAACTATAGAATTACAATTTACATCACACTTACATTCGGATGAAGCCATGTAACAATCTCTGAACATCATCAACTTCCACGTCTTTTGTGCTTCCTTTTGTAGATGAACAACTTCCTTTTCCGCTTCCATCGATAATTTCTATTTTTTCAATGCATTTAATATCACCTGTGCTTTGTGATAAACCCATAGACTTAAGTGTCTCCATTAATGATAATTTCCATGGTTTCTCTACTGTGCTCATAAGACAGCAAGCTGCTTCCGTAGGGAACCACCCTTCGATCCTTGCGGTTTTTGAGGATCGTCGTAGACAGTTACATACAACTCGTTCACCCCAGTTTCTGGGTCTTCGTAACCAGCGAGGTTTATGGTCTGAATCTGATTATGGTTCTGATGTTATTGTTGGAGTCTTTGACACTGGCATTTGGCCTAAGAGACAGAGCTTCTCTGATGTGAACTTGTGTCCTATTCCACGGCGGTGGAAAGGGGTTTGTGAATCTGGTGAAAAATACTCACCCAGAAACTGCAACAAAAAACTCATCGGTGCTAGATTCTTCTCCAAAGGTCATGAAGCAGGTTCTGGTTTTTTCGGTCCTTTGAACCCCATCAATGAAACCGTTGAGTTTCGATCCCCTCGTGACATCGACGGTCATGGAACCCACACAGCCTCCACAGCTGTTGGTCGTTATGCTTTCCAAGCAAACATGTCCGGTTACGCTTCTGGAATCGCCAAAGGTGTTGCTCCGAAAGCAAGATTAGCAGTTTACAAAGTTTGTTGGAAGAATTCTGGTTGCTTTGATTATGATATCCTCGCTGCCTTCGACGCAGCAGTCACTGACGGTATTGATGTAATTTCCATATCAATCTGTGGCGGAGACAATATAGCCTCACCTTACTATCTCGACCCAATAGAAATCGGATCTTACGGCGCCGTTTCCAGAGGCGTATTCGTTTCATCCTCCGCAGGAAATGATGGTCCAAGTGGAATGTCAGTAACCAACCTTGCACCAGGGTTGACCACAGTGGGAGCAGGCACCATCGATCGTGATTTTCCAGCGCAAATTACCATGGGCGACGGGAGAAAATTCTCCGGTGTGTCACTATACTCCAGAGAAGCTTTGAACGGTAAAATGTATCAACTAGTTTACCCTGGAAAATCAGGGATTCTAGGTGATTCACTGTGCATGGAAAATTCATTGGATCCGAAACAAGTAACAGGGAAAATTGTAGTGTGTGATAGAGGAAGTAGCCCTAGAGTAGAAAAAGGGCTAGTTGTGAAGAAAGCCGGTGGCGTTGGAATGATCCTCGCAAATAGAATCTCAAACGGCGAAGGACTCGTTGGAGATGCTCATCTTCTTCCTGCTTGTGTTGTTGGTTCCAACGAAGGGGATATAATCAAAGCCTATATCACTTCATCGTCGAACCAAACTGCTACGATTGATTTAAAAGGGACTATCCTCAGAATCAAACTGGCTCCGGTTATCGCTTCTTTCTCAGCAAGAGGACCTAACGGTTTGAACCCTCAGTTACTCAAACCGGATCTGATAGCTCCAGGAGTTAACATCCTTGCCGCTTGGTCTGACGTTGTGGGTCCAACTGGTCTTGATTCTGACACCCGTAGAACCGAGTTCAATATTTTGTCTGGAACATCAATGGTTGCACCTCATGTGAGTGGCGATGCCGCGTTGCTGAAATCTGCTCATCCATATTGGAGTTACGCCGCCGTGAGATCCTCCATGATGACCATTGCTTTTGTTTTGGATAACCGGAACCTCCCTATGTTAGATGAGGCTACAGGGAATAATTCCACACCTTATGATTTCGGCTCGGTCATCTCAATTTGGGTCATCTCATGGTTTGGGCGTTTGCCGTTTTTACATCGGTTTTAACATTGGCCCGATGCAGGGTTCTGGGCTGATATTTTTTACACCGGTTTACAGAAGGCCCGATGTGAGGGTGATTTTTACATCGGTTAAAAGTATGTCCCGATGTAAGTGTTTGGGCGTCTAATATTTTTACATCGGTTTTCATTATTCTCCGATGTAAGGTTTTTAATATATTTTATATATTACCAATCTGCCCGTGAACTTTTTACATCTGTTTTTAGTTAGACCCGATGTAATATCTTGCTAGATTTTTATTTACAATTCTGCCACCTTATTTCTTATTTATAAAAATGCCACCGTATTTTTTTCAGAAAACCTTTTACATCGGTGGATGACATGGCCCGATGTAATAGATAGCGAAAAATATATTTTTTCATATTATTTATATCATTGCAAATAAATACCTGATGTAAAATATTTTTAATTTTATTTTTTACATCATATATTTTGATACGTGATGTAAAAACCTTTTCTCAAATGTCTTTTTAGTAGTGTCACCTCAAGAGTAGCAAGTAGCTAGCATTCCATCTTTTAAATATGAGGATAAAAATTGTTGTCGTCTCCACTATCAATTTTCAAAGCATAATTCAATCTCCAATGACAATCAATGAAAATTTGTTGTTTTCTTGTAATATAAAAAATTGAACGTGACTTGGTTAATTAAGATAACAATTTAATATTACATTTTTTTCATGTATAATCAAACTCTAGAGTTATTTAGAATACAAGATCTAATACATAATAGTACATACACTTAAACATTAAATCG